TATATGGTTTTTGGTAAATCTAAAGCAATTTTCTAAAGAAAATTGTATAATGTATGGCCAGCCTAATGCAGGACATAGATGGGTCGAAAATCGGCCGGTTTAGGTTTGACCTCATATTATATGGTTTTTGGTAAATCTAAAGCAATTTTCTAAAGAAAATTGTATAATGTATGGCCAGCCTAATGCAAGATATAGACGGGTTGAAAAATCGGCCGATTTTTCGGCCGAAAAAAAAATCAGCCAATTTTCACACCGTTAGTGGGTTAATTAATTGGCTGTTTTTCGGGGTTTTGGCACATTTTTTTTATCGGTAAAGTTGGAAAAAAATCGGCCAATTTTGCAGATCGGACAATTTTCCCGGCAATGATGGGCAAATTGGCTGATCGTTTTACCGATAAAAAATCTGCGCATGAGCCATGACCTGCAAGAAGAAAAAAAAAGAAGAAGAAAAAGAAGAATTCCAGTCCGCTATTGTATTTGTCATGAAAAAGTATTGCGGTTGCAACAATGTATCCATTCGTATCCAAATAAAAACATCTGTATCCGAAATGGATACAAATAGATACAATGTTGCAACCGCAATACTTTTTCATGTTAAATATAATAGCGGAGCTCTCTGCAAGGGACAGAAGTAATTAAGTGCTGGCCGTAGACAGGACGAAAATCGGCCAATTTTTTTTTACCGTTGGTGGTAACGTCGGCCTATTGAACGACCGATTTTTTTTTTTTTTTTTTTTTTAAATGACCGGTTTGCAACCTGTCTATGGCCTGCATAAGTCATCAATACAATCAATTTCAAATAAAAAAGAGTAAAACCTTGGGATTGATTCACTAATGCAGGCCATAGACGGTTCATTTATTGCCCGAATTTTCGTCCGAAAGAATAATCGGACGATTTTCGCACCATTAGTGGAGCAATGTCATTGGCCGATTTTTGTGGTTGCTCCTTATTTCTTTTATCGGTCATGCTGGAAAATTTACGAAAAACGGCCGATTTTCGCAGTCATTGGTGGCAACAGAACGACCGATTTTTCGTTTTTCGGTTGAAAAATCACCCAATAAACGAACCGTCTATGGCCTGCATAAAACTGGCAAATGCAAAATCTGGTGCAGCTGTGCATAGTAGCCAATCAGCTTCTAACTTCAGCTTGTTCAATTAAGCTTTGACGAAAAACATGGAAGCTGAGCTGCACTAGATTTTGCACTCTCCAGGTTTAGTAAATCAACCCCATTATGTCCTGTCCAATCAGCCAGGCTCGCTCGAATGGAGGATTCATTTGCTGCACTCAACTTACATTCAATATGATTGTTACAATCAAATGTGGTTGCCATATGTATGGCCAGGATGTACACTCACCAGTCACTTTATTAGGTACACCTTGCTAGTACTGGGTTGGACCTTCTTTTGTCTTCGGAACCGTCTTAATTCTTCATGGTGTATATTCAACAAGGTGTTGGAAACATTCCTCAGAGATTTTGGTCCATATTGACATGAGTTACTGTTGCTTTTCTATCATCTCAAACCAGTCTGACCATTCACCTCTGACATCAACAAGGCATTTTCATTCATACAGCTGCTGCTCACTGGATATTTTCTCTTTTTCGGACCATTCTCTAAACCCTAAAAATGGTTGTGCATAAAAATTCCAGTAGATCAGCAGTTTTTGAAATTCTCAAACCAGCCCGCCTGTCACCAACAACCATGCCACGTTTAAAGTCACTTAAATCCCCTTTCTTCCTCATTCTGATGCTCGGTTTGAACTTAAGCAAGTTGTCCTCATCATGTCTAGATGCCTAAATGCATTGAGTTGTTGCCATGTGATTGCTGATTAGCAACTTGTGTTACCAAGCAATTGAACAGGTGTACCTAATAAATTGGCCGGTGAGTGTATATGGCTCATTAAGGTTGGAAGTCATTGTATACTTTGCATGCAAGGTGTTATCCTGATACCCTGTCATTAGGGAATCATGGAAGCTGCCACTGCTGGACTCTCCTTTTGAGAATGCTAGTTCCCTGGCTATCATGCAGAAGCTTTGGCCTCAGTGCTTTCCGAGTTACTGACCAGGAACAAGTATAGAGATGAGGAGTTCTGGCACTTTTCTGATACTTATATATAGCATGGTTGTTCCACGTTTGACTTTCAGAAGGAGACCAGCAGAGGCAGTCATTGTACTTCCTTCATAACGGGGGGTATACGTTAAAAAAGAAATAGCCCTGGAAGATCTACATGTAAAAACTCAGAAAATTGCAGATGCTTCCACAGCTGAAGAAGTTGATTCTGACCCTGAGGGTTTGATGCTGCTATATTTCCCTTATATGACATGAAGGAGGGTTAGTGTAAGGCGCTGGTGCCTGACCTGCATCCCTTTGGCACTTACTGTGCCACCATTTGGATCCTGCAGGCAGTGGTCTGTGTTTTGATGCTTTCTCAAGCTAGTGATCAAACAATATTCTTTAGATTGGTTTCCACTTACAATTTTCTGTGCTGTTCATCCGGTTTCTCTTTTTATGTTTTTACCCTGTTTTATAATAGATCTTGCTATGAGAAATATCAAATCATCAATAGGTAATCTTAAGGGATTTTTTGTGAGCACAGATGTGGGGGTTATTTACTAAAACTGGAGAGTGCCAAATCTGGTGCAGCTCTGCATAGAAACCAATCAGCTTCCAGGTTTTATTGACAAAGCTTAAAGCGGAGTTCCACCCAAAAGGGGATGTTCTGCTTTAATGCTTTGTCCCACGCTCTCTGTTAAGGATTGGCACTTAGGGAAGCGGGTACCCGAATTTGACAAGTACCGACCCCCGCCTAGGCGATCAGAAACGGAAGTTGTCCTCCCCCTCCCTCCCCGTAGTTGTCTAGGACACGTGTCAGGTCCCAGATGACCATGGGGCCGTTCACAAAGCTCAGCACTTCTCACGCATGCGCAGTGGGCACCCTGCTGTGAAGCCGCATGCTGTCACAGCTGGGTGCCCACACTAAAGATGCCAGTGCCAGGGAGAGAAGACGGCCAGTGAAACCAGTGGTGGTGAGGACACCGCTGGACCGAGGGACAGGTAAGTGGCTGTATTTTAAAAGTCAGCAGTTTTTGTAGCTGCTGACTTTTTTTTTTTTTTCAGCTGGAACTTCGCTTTACCTGAACAAGCAGAAATTAGAAGATGATTGACTACCATGCACAGCTGCACCAGATTGCTGCACCAGATTCTGAGTGCACCAGTTTTAGTAAATCCCCCCCAGTGGTTTGTAAAGGGGCTGTAATAGCAGAGATCTCTAGCAGTTTTATTTAAGTCCTTATGCATACTGGATGTTTTTACTGTGGCTGTTTTTGGCTTTTGCAGTTTTTTTCTACAGCAAGTAAACTCCCCAGCATGTTATCCTATGTGGCCATGCACACATAGACTGTCATCAAGGTTTTTTGGCAGGGACGTTTTTTGGCTGGAGAAAACCCCCAGGACTATTGGGGATCTAGAGGGGTTTTTTACTGTAAAAACACTCTAAAACGTTATTAAAATGCCCAGTGTGCATGGAGCCTAACATGTCTCCAGTCCATGATTTGTCTCCTAAAGTATGTCATCAGTCTCCAACACCTTCATAGCATGTTTACAGTCTCCGATAATCTCCTGTATCATGTCTGTTGTCTCTGATCATCTCCTGTATCGTGTCCTGGGTCTTTGAACATCCCCTGCACATCTGCAGTCTTTGACAGCTTTCTGTTATAGCATTACATTCAATGAATTTTATGTGTGACCCTTTGGTAAGCTCATGGTCCGCACTTTACTCCTCCCATATAAAGTGACCACCACAGGTGTAAGGGTTACAGGGAGGAATACGGTTCGAGAATCAAGGTGAGCAGTACATCCCAATTCCAGAAAAGTTATATGAGCAAACCATACTCAAAATTACCCACAATGCCACTTTAATCTTGGAAATGGTCCTCTGAAGTCCACTAGGATATCAACACTTCCAGGAGTGTTGATCTCCTGGTTATCCCGCAGCTGTCCCTAGTTCCCTCTATTGACCTCCATATCACTATTGTGTCCTGTAATGACTTGAAGGCCCACAAGAAGAACCAGTGAGAGCAGCATGGGATCCAGGAGATTGGTTCTAATGAAAGTGTTGGTTTCCCAACAGACTTTGGGGGCTTTTTTTCAGGATCACAGTGATTTGGGAAAAGTAAGTATTTAAAGTCTGCTATTATAGGCATGGCTTACTTGAAAAACTTTTGTACATCAACAGCACCACTTTCACTTCTAGGTATATGTCCATATTAAATCAAAAAGACAGCAAGTGTACAATTTTATATCCCTAAAACTAGTATTACAACTTAAACTTTGAAAAAAGAAACGCATCTATATAGACTGTTTCAGCACAGAACTATAAGCAGTTATTTCCCATACAGCTCAGAAACATTAAATTTTTTTGTGTTGTAGAGATAAGTTCTCTAGGTTCATGTGCACCACTTTCCTGAACTTCTGGGTGGGGGAGTGTGCAAGGGAACCTGGAGCATGCATGCCCCTTCATTCATGAAATTTCCCTGATGTGACGTTGTCTGTGCCTACATGCACAGGAAGTCCAGCCTACTTACTAAATTAAGGAAAAAAAATAGGACATACAGTATTTTACTTTAATCCCTTTATATAATCCCTTGCAGATTTACCAAGTCTGTTTTGTATGAAGCTGCAAATAGGGAGAGGATGGCGGGGGAACCATGGAATGTACTGGCCTTCATTTCTGTTACATTGCAACCAACAAGATTTTTGTGTTTTTCCATGTTGCCTAAATTCTCCACCTGCAACTGGAATCCGAAATGTTCAATTCCAAGGAACTGTGATTTCAATCAAAACCTGATGGAAAGCTTCCGAAACTGCCAAAACTTGGCAAGTGTATGGCCAGAATAAACCTAAGTAAGTAAAATTTAGTTTGATGATTAGGTTTAGGACTGGCCATACACTTGGCAGTTTTATGGCAATGTTTCTTTCAACCACAGTAATTGAAAACACACCTATGGCGAGTGGAAATTATGGTGGGGGCAAGTGTGTCCCCCAGGGCCATCTTGCTGAGCAGGCTCGGAGCTCAGGCCGGATCTGTCATTGTCACTGGGAGCTGTCAGACTGCTCAATAGCTGAGCACAGTGTAAGCAAAGGAAGGAGTGTGTGCTGTGCTCTCTGCCTCCCCCTAGAGTGCAGTACCTGGCTCTGTGAGCGAACAACAAAGTACTGCAACTTTTTATGCGATGTGTGTGTGTGTACATGTACATGTGTGTGTGTCTGTGTATGCATGTACATGTGTCTGCGGGTATGTACATGTATGTGTGTGTGTGTACATGTGTCTGTTTGTGTGTATGTACGTACATGTGTCTGTGTATGCATGTACATGTGTCTGTGTATATGTACATGTGTCTGTGCGTATGTATTTCTGTGTATGTACATGTATCTGTGTGTATGCGTGTATGCGTGTCTGTACGTGCCTGTGTGTGTATACATGTGTCTGTATGTGCGTGTTTTGTACATGTTTCTATGTGTGTGTATGTACATGTCTGTGTGTGTGTACAGGTGTTTCTGTTTGTGTTTGCTGGTGGCGAGTAACTCTTAAGGCCTGACTAGTAGCTCAGGACTTGAAATTTTAAGTCCTGACATATGGCATTGTTGAAATCTAATAACAAATCTTTAAAATTTGACAAATGTATGTCCACCAGCAAAGGTGAAGGTAGGGTGTGGTTTAAAGTGGATAGTAAGGCTGAAGGTTAGTTGTAGAGGTAAGTTAAAACATACATGTGTCAATTTTCAATAAACTTCAACCACTTTCTATCCAATTAGAATCATAAATACAAACTACAGTAATTGTCAGAAATCACACAATTTACCACCCATGGCTACCAGAATTTGGTTAATTATAAAGTCAAAGCAGGACTTGTATTGTTTTAATGTGCCGAAGTTGTAATTCAAATGTTTTCTATCTATACACTTGGCATGGCAACTTCCATAATGTTTTTAAAAGGAAGGTTGAGGCTAGGTTCATACTGCTGCTATACAGTTTTTAACCGACTTTCAGTGCGATTATTTAATGCTACTTGGATGCAGCTTTGATAAGGTTTGTATATTCTATGGGGTCAAAATTGTACTGGAATCACCCCAAAGTAGCACAGGAACTTTCTCCAAATTGCTCTGCAAAGTTGTGTTAATGGGAACGGTCACCATTGAAAACAATGTCATTTCCCTTGCCATGCAATTCTGTGCGACTCAAGTTGCATCTGAAATTGCACTAGTGTAAACTATGCCTAAAAAAAAAAGTAAGATTAAAGTAAGATAGAAATGAAAAATTACAGCAATTACAGTCAAAGTGATTAGACGTCTTTCGCTACAATTGATTAGGGTCAGTTTGATTCTGTTTCTTTGCTGTCCGTCAGAACTTTAGTTCTTCAATTACTTTTCAATTTCGACAAACACAGAGTCAAAAGTAATTTGCTTGATCGAATTGCCACATGTATGGCCAGAATTAGGGCAAATTTTAAGTATAGGAATAGATCTAAGTTACTTACAATGACGGGTTTTGGTATGATAATCTGTACCCTGAAATATATGCAGTATAAACCTACATGAAGTGGCTTATATAAATGAATGACGGTACTATGAAAAAATGTAATCTCCAAGAACTGGGACTGTAAAAGTATCACAAATCAAAACTAGACAAAAATCCAAAGTCATATACAAAAAAATCCTTATTTTTTTTAGCTTAATATAAAAATGTACAATACATGTTCTCAGACATAATATGGAGATATAGTACAAAGAAACATCACAAAATATGCACCTGTACAAACTACCATTTAGCCATCCGCTGTTTTGATTTGTGTAGCCTGTGACTTTGAGCTTACAGACAGGTGCGGACTGACCATTTGGAAACTCGGGCACTGCCCGAGGGCCCGGAGTCAGTAGGGGGCCCCATGAGATGCCCCTGGTACCTTTTTCATAGGCTTTTTTGAGTTTGGGCAAGGACACAGGGGCCCCATGATCCCCGATTGCCCGGGGGCCCCATGAGTTATCAGTCCGCCCCTGCTTACAAAACACAGAGATAGTCACTGATGATGGGGCAGAATCAGAAAGGGCTTTTTATTAGGAAATGTGCATGATAGAACTGAATTCATACAGTTCATAGGCTCATGGGCACGGAAGTATTTGCCCATGCAGAGTAAAAACTGTGTGTATTTTGATGCCCATCAATCACAAGTAGTGCACACAGCCTGCTGCCAACAGCTTGTTAACATCAAGGTCAGTCTTGATCATCGCAATACGCCATATCAGCACCCCAATCACCGCCATATACCATACCAGCATCCTGATCACCTCCACACACCATACCAAATTTCTAATCACCACCAAATCATACTAGCATCCTGATCACCACCATACGCCATACCAGCGTCCTAATTACCGTAATATGGCATACCAACACCCTGATCACTGCAATACCCCATACCAGCGTCCTGATCACCTCCATACCCCATACCAGCATCCTGATTGCCGCCATACCCCATACCAGCGTTCTGATCATCGCCATACAGCATACCAGTGTCCTGATCACCACCACATCATACCAGCATTCTGATCACAACCATACACAATACAAGCGTACTGATCACAGCCATACCCCATACCGATGTCCTGATCATCGCCATACACCACACCACCGTCCTGATCACCGCCATACACCATACCAGATTCCTGATGTACCGATCAATTTTTAAATATATATACTGTATATTGCCAGACATTCTGTTTTCGGGGCTTACATTATTGAACTCATATGGCATTATATATGAGTACTGCTCAGACGTGAGCACAGCGGCTGCATATTTCAGCCTGTCATTGATTTTTAACAGGCTACTGGTAGTTGGTTGTACGCACCACTTTTGACTCCTGGGCACCAAAATATGTCCATCTTTTAGTCTTCATGCACACTGGACGTTTTGATAACACTGGTAATTATAGCTGTGTAAAGTCACCTGAGTTTTTCAGGTTTTTTTTTTCGAGTGTTTGCATTAGCGTTTTGCAGCGTTTTCCTGCATTTACGGTTTTTAGCGGTTTTTTTTTCTCCCCAAAAAATTGGGGTAAAAAAAGTTCAAAAACGCTGGTTTTTCAGCGTTTTTCAGCGTTAGATCATTTTTACAGCTAAAAAACTCCTCTAGAATCCCACTAGTCCTGGGTTTTTTTTTTCAAGCCAAAAAACATTCTATGTGTGCATGGACACATAGGATAACATGCGGGGGGGTTGGCAGCACAGTGGCTGGCGGCACAGTAGCTTAGTGGTTAGCACTGGCAGTACTAGTGTCATTGGTTCGAATCCCAACCACAGCACCACCTGCCTGGAGTTTGCGTGTTCTCCCTGTGCCTGTGTGGGTTTCCTCCGGGTACTCCGGTTTCCTCCCACACTCCAAAAGACATGCAGGTAAGTTAATTGGATCCTGTCTAAATTGTCCATAGTATGTGTATGTATGAATGTGAGTTAGGGACCTTAGATTGTACGCCCCTTGAGGGTTAGGGACTGATGTGAATGTATAATATATATATGTGTAAAGCGCTGCGTAAATTGACGGCGATATATAAGTACCTGAAATAAATAAATAATACTAGCTGTAGAAAAAAAACGTCAAAAGCCAAAAACATCAGCTGTAAAAACGTCCAGTGTGTATGAGGACTTGCGCTGTCCAGGCCAATGTGCCCATGTACATGAGCCTTATTGATGACGAAAATGCTTGTTGCAAATTCTTTCACAGGTACTTCAGTACCAAAACCAGCTACAGCCATATTCAGAAGCTGAAGAATAATGTGCTGTTTAGTGAAGTCTCTGCATTTCAGCATTTCCAGGAGCATGTCTGGAAACTGGCTGAAGAACCACAGTTGACTAAGCTCGCAGGGTGGTATTACCATCCACAGACCGTTTACTCTTCTGTTTGACCTCAGGAGCAGATAGAATATTTTATTGCACAAATATGCTGTGATCACAGTTTTTAATTATCTTTTTGTACTGGTATCCTTTTTCACATTTTCTCCCACATTTTAGTAGTCACCTCGCGTATCATTTTTAATAACTACAGGCGGATCTCAAGAAAGCCTTTCAACATTGTATTATATCTACGAGTAGAAATTGCTTTGACATTTACCCAGGAAATATGAGTGTGTAATCATATTACTCAGATCTGTACTGACACACTTGAGCCGCACAGATAAACACTCTGTCCATTGTTCAGAGACCAAACAGCCTGATGTTCTGTAGAATTTCATATCCTCAGACGGATACCATGTTAAGATGAATGAGAGACATTAACTTGGACCTGTTCATCGTGGCAGGGAAAAGGCCCATAGCAACTGATCGGAAATCATCTTTCACTGATCATGGTACAGTAGGTTGAAACCTGAGTGGTTGCTGCTTTTGTATGCTGCACTTTGTGTATCATTGCCCTTTTTGGAGCTCCAATCAAAATCTTAAAAAATTAAAGTCAGCAGCTACAAAAACTGTAAGAAATAGACATCATAAGTGTGGGCCCCTGGCTGTGACAGCTTGCAGTTGCACAGCCAGATGTCCACTGTGCATGCGCGAGTAGTGCTGGGCCTTGTGAATGGTACCATAGTCTTCTGGGACCTGTCTCATGACCACGAGGAGGGAGGGGGGGGGACAACTTACGCTTCTGATTACCTAGGCCAGGGGTGTCCAAACTATGGCCCTCCAGGTGTTGAGGAACTGCAAGTCCCATGAGGCCTTGCAAGACTCTGACATCCACAGGCAAGACACTCAGAGGCAGAGGCATGATGGGACTTGTAGTACTTCAACAGCTGAAAGGCCATAGTTTGGACACCCCTGGCCTAGGCGAGTAGAAGTGGGAGTGGGTACATGTCAAAATCAGGTACCCACTCCCCAAAGGTGTCGATCCTTAATGGGGAGCAGGGGACAAGGCCTTAAAGCGGAACTTCCCCTTTTGGGTGGAGCTCTGCTTTAATCACTAAGTCTAAAGCTGGCCATGCATGTTATTGTATGATTAAACGCAGACCCTCCGACTTCGGGGTAGAGCAAGTTCTGGTACGCACATAAACAATCGGATTTGCATATGCCCATACAGCCGTTGCTTTAGCCAGCCTGTCATTGGTTTGTATAGGCTGGCTGTATGATCCACCTCTCACTCTCAGGCGGAGAAATACGTCCAAATATATGCTGTACAGTAAGGGGACCAAAATGAAATCCAGGGGCACTCTACTGGCCAAAAGTAACTACTACTGACTCCTGAACTCTGCATTACTTATTAGGGACTGAAATAACACAGAGATCAGGGGTCAGTAAGTAATGAAGAGTGCAAGGGTCAGTAGTAAGTAATGCAGAGTACAAGGGTCAATAGTAAATCATGCAGAGTTAAGGGGTCAAAAAAAGTAAAGCAGAGTTTATGGGTCAGTAATAAATAATGCAGAGCATGGGGTCAGTAGTAAGTAACACAGTGTTCAAGGGTCAGCAGTGCAGGGGTCAGTAATAAGTAATGCAGAGTTCAGGAGTCAGTAGTAAGCAATGTAGAGTTCAGAGGT